AAAAAAGTAAAAGAAATAATTGTCCTAAGGGCAAACTTGTACTAAGTTAATTACTAACAATTTTATGTCTAGTGCAAACTATTGGATGTTTATACTCAAATTAATCACTATCTTACAAGAATTACAGCAATGCAAATTATATACTGCCAAGGCAATTCAGTGACATTTTATAAGGGAAAAGGTTAAACTCCCTCTGTTTGATAACTATGCACTTTGTTATCTCCCCTCCCTAACAGCTGTCAACACCTCAAAAAAAACTGCCCCTCCCTTTCCTCACAGCCAGGGTGAAGGCAGTTTTAGGCTTAAAATTTTTATAATATAAAATGTATCTGACTATACTTAGCAGAATATAAATTGCATTGCTGGAATCCTTGTAAGATAGTGATTAATTTGAGTATAAACATCACATAGTCTGTACAAGAGATAAAAAATTTATAGTGTAATACATTTGAGTACAAAGTGTGTACAGTGATCCCTCGGTTAACGAACGCCTCAGTTAACGAATTTTTGGTTAATGATTTACCTTCCATAAGAATATTCAATTCGGTTAACGAATTCCTTACGAATTTTTCCCAACATGTTTTCGCCTGCTTTCGCCTGCTCACCAGCTGGAGTATTAGTCCGCCAATACAGTAATCGGTGTTAGGGCTTAAATTCGTTACCATTTGAGTAAATATCAAGAAGGTTGTACTATTCAATAATTTTCCAAGTCTTATATTAAAATTTTTAGTCATTTTAACAAATATTTAACATAATTGAAGTACAGGGAACTAGTTTTTAGCACGCCAAACAGCCACTTGACTCACCCAGAATGGCGTCAGCTTGTGTCTCTGCTCAGTGGAGGTAACATCTTGCTTGAGACGCTCTTGAACATAAACTATTTTTATGTTTTTACAGGACAATTATTGATCATTCTGAAATTTATTTTACATATTGACAATATATAATGCAGTGCAGTGTTGATTTAAAGAAAATAATCTTGAATTACACCAAGTGAACTTAAAATTTTATGGGTGAAATGGCAGCATGAAGCAAGGGGGGACTTCTCTTCCAAGCCCACTGCCTTCTCTTCTCCCTTCTCCTCCACCCCCACTTCTAATTCCCATCATCATCATCATCATCATCAACAAGGAGCCTTCTACATGCACACCTCAAAGTAAGTGTACTTTACTGCATTTATTTTTAGTTTGTATGTAATTTTCGGTGAGCTGGAACCAATTACTCAAAATTCTATTGAAACAATGGTTTCGGTTAACGAAATTTTCAGTTAACGAACGACCTTCTTGAACGAATTGTGTTCGTTAACCGAGGGACCACTGTACAGTAATGTTGCTCAAAATTATGGTTTTTTTTTTCACATGTAATTTACATTTAATATTTGTTAAATTTAAGTTTCTAGCAGTCCATGGTGCTTTAGAGTTGCAGGAGGTATATAATTAGTGGGTCAGAGGTATATTGTTGAATTATTATTACCTGACCTCGGTTGGTCCGGCAAAACGGATAATCCGGCAAGGCTTTGGAAGGAAGAGTGCCGGAAAATCGGTGGTGGACCTGTATTATAATTACAATACCTTTCTTATCCTTTACTTAACCCTATGTCCATGTCCAATAACTATATTTTAGCTCCTTTCTTAATTTTTCCATTAATGTCATTTACATCCATGTTCAGCGTTGCTGAGTTCCTAACATGTCTTCTTGCAACACGTGTTGTCTCTCTATTTTCTGTTTGTTTTAGACTTTTATTATTTATTTTAAAGCTTTTGTCCCTCTTTAACTGATACAACTTATATTCTCTAAATCCATAAATATTAATATGAAAATTTAATTATTTTGTATTGTAAATCCTCCATTACTTAATATTGCTTCCTTTTCCTTTGACTTACAGAAAAAAAAATTTGTTCAAATGCATTAAGAAAGAGTACTGTACAGTATATTTCATCTACTATTATGTACTCAACCAATGAGGCTGCAGTTGGTGCAAAGAAATACAGTACATTTTTCTGTTGATATTAGAAATCTTAAAAATTTCAAAGACTATAATTATCTTAACATTAGAATATCATAATAAGTGCTTCCAACAGAGTTTGTTGTATTATACAGGAGGTCCCCATTTATCATCTCTCTATTTGTCAATGTTTTGCTATAAAGTCACTAAGGAATTATTAAAGGTATCACTAGGTTCCATTGTATTGTTGGCAGTTGTCAGTAACTGCATGAATACTTTGTGTTGTGGAGGACCCAAGGTGTGTTCCTGCCTCAGCATAGTCAAAGTGTCATATACATTTGTGTCAGAAATACACTGGATTTTGTGCTTTTTGGTCAATATACCCCAACATAATACCCCAAAAATGCTTACCAAGTAGCAGTGCAGTGCTCAGCATAAAGAAAACCAGGAGGGTTTAAGTTTGTTTGGTGCTGGTGAGCGAGCTGGTCACATTGATGTCACTCTAGGCTTGCCTCTCACCACTGTAGGATCTATATGGGGTAATGCTGAGAAAATTAGGGTCAGTGCTTCATGTGTATACCCCTTAATGCTCCCAAAATTAGCAAGACATCTCTCAGTTTGGATAGATGACCAGAACCGGCATAGTGCACACCAGTCTGGCTGTAATGTAAGCTAAGGCACGATATAAGCAACTTACACCACCTTCATTTGTGAGTATTGTTTGTTTTACCTTAATTAGTTTTCACATCTTTTATTTGGTGAAAATTTTTTCAATGAAATTTAACCCCTCCTTCCCATTTACATTATTTTTTAAGAGAACTATTGATTTGTTTAATCTCATTTTATTTAAAATCAATCTTTAAAGAAATGCATATACAGTACTGTACTGTACAGTAGGACAGTGATAAGTGGGGACTTGCTGTATTACAAATAGCATCTTCAGATGCTTAAACCCTTCTTTATCACAAACCAAAACCATGCTGCATGCTTATCACATCCACCAGTGCATTAATGCTGAGGTTTTGGTTTATGCTAAAGGAGTTAAATTGAAAAACATATATTTTTCAAATTGTATGAAGAGGCATAATTGAGCAAATACAAAGTTTCATGTCTCACTTTTGTCTTAGCTCAGGCAACTGTCGCATGTGTCTTGTAAACCTCACAGTAGAATTTTCACTGGTCATGCTCTGTTATCATTGATGTGTTAATGTTGCCAACTTTTGTACAGATGTCACTTAGACAGACAGTGTGTTTGTATCCAACCAATTTTAGAATTATCAATTTATACTTGTCTAGATATGATCATCAGCTACATACAATGCACATTTAGCTTAACACTGAAATTAGAATTTTGGATCCATGAAAGAGATTATCAAAATAGTTTCCATTCACCAAGTATCTCAAATTGTAAAATTTTCCAAACATCAGCCATAATATGATACACGCTTCAGTTTAGTACTGTATTTGTCAAGTCCACATTATCAGTTTAGCATTTAAAGGTCACTAATTGTTATCCAAATGTTGTGACCATTCTGTTCACCCTATCTAGTCAAGTCTCTGGCTGTTATTAGAAAGATATATGGTACAGAACTGTAAAATGAAGTAGGGAACTTTGATGTATACATCCAGTAAACTTCCTGTAATTTGAACTAATTGGGTTTGGCCGAAATTCTGTGTTGTGTAGGGGTCTGTATTGTTTATATTGCAAAATTAAAAATTCCAGAAGGTGGGGAATTTCCAACTGAAGGTACCTAAGAACACTGAATCTACTGTAATTTTTAGCCTATTCTTAACACCCTCTGGGTTTTTATATGCTGGCTCTCGGTACAATTGTACTCGGCATGTCACCGAGTGGCTGGTGATGCCTGGACCTCTCATATGCCTTGCAACAGTGTATTCTGATATATATATATATATATATATATATATATATATATATATATATATATATATATATATATATATATATATATATATATATATATATATATATTACAAAGACTGAGAGAGAGCTTAAGTACACAGGGTGACCTAATAAAATATGAGGTCAGTTCAAAAAACATGACATCCACTAATCCACACAGCAAACATAAGAAGAGATTATAAGAACGGGCGACATAACTAGACATGTCACGTCAGGTAAAAAATATGAGACCCACTACTCATCTATCATACATCTACCTTACATGCTTTCAAAACATTTTTAACCTTGGGTCACTGACAAATAAATTTGTGTAACATATTTTCAGTTTTGTACTGACCATCACTAAGGTTTAAAGAATACTGCACATTTCTCTAATCAAACTTGCTTCAGCCAGAAGTCTTTCTGTGACACATGATGATTTATACACTTCTAAACTGTTTTCCCAATCTATGGGATGATTATTGTTCCTTATATGAACGAACAGTGCACTGCTTTCAGATGCTGTTCTAATATTGTACTTATGTTGTTTAATTCTGAGTTGCAATGCCTTCCCAGCCTGTCCTACATAATTTCCATTACAGTTGCTACATGGAATACAGTAAACACTTCCATTTACATTCAATGTTGGGCTATTCTTAATTAATGTACTATATTAGTAATAGTTGAGTCATACTTAAAAACAACGTTAATGTTTAATAATTTAAGGGACTGAACTAACGGGACAAATTCATTGCGATAAGGTAGTCAAAATATTCTTAAATGTGTACAGTATAAATAATTTTTTAAACAAACTTTTAGATAAACAGTTCACGATTATTTGATTAAAAATTTTTTACTTAATTACAACTGATTTTATAGACACCAGTACAGTGGTCCCTCGATTAACGAACGGTCGAATTAACAAAATTTTGGTAAACGAATTGGCCCCCATAAGGATTTTCAATTCCATTAACGAACAAAACTTCGATTAACGAAAGCCTTACGAGAAACACGCATTGTTGTGTGCATCGGCTGATCGGCTAGTCCGCCAATACAGTATTTGGTTCTATGTTTACATTCGTTTCCAGTGGAGTAAATATCAAGAAAGTTGTGCTCTTGAATATTTTTGCATTTTTTATATTAAAATTATTGGTCATTCTAATTTAGTTAACATATTGATAATATATACAGCACAGGGAACAGTTTTTGTGTGCCAATCAGCTGATCGAATCACCCACCAACGCTTCTCAGTTTAACTTTGTGGCCACGGCCTAGTATAATAGGACTGATTAGAGAATCATACAAAGTAGAAGAGTGTTTCATATAGTACAGTATATATTACCGGGATTACTGCACTATAATATACCTGTTAATAATAATGTGCTGTACAGCATTTATTAATTATTAACTCATGAGGCAGCTGGGTCTAGAGGTGGTTGAGGCAGGAGGTGATTGTACAACACTTACAATTTACGTTATTGAAGGTGGAGCGGAGATTATGTTTTCAATGCTAATTTCATTGACTATAATGTACTGTACACTATTTATACTTCTTAAACAATTCACTTTAGTGCTTCTCGTCAACCAACTCCACCACAGCAGCCGTCCCCACCTACACAAACTGTCCCCTGTTATGTTTTCTGGTTGGAGATACATGTCTGGTGCTGGACCCCTTTCTGGTTTGCAAGGGGGATCCAGATTAAACGAGTCCAGGTTAGAGGGAGTTTACTGGACAGTCCTTGCTTGGTTTTGTGAGTGCTACCAGAATTTTTTTTTTTTTTTTGCTACTTTGTGATCATGAGGTAGCATTCAACACAGGTAGCTATTTTATTGTTATTAACTTTCTCAGATTTGTTTTTTTTTATATAATACATTATTGTAATTTACTTAGATACTGTACTGTTTTACAATAGTTTTTACTGTTTCTGACAATCATTTTCATGCACTTACAGTATTGTATTTATTTAAACACTGACTTGACTGTTCATATTGCAGCAGAAAGCTCAAGTATTCCTCAGATTATTGCGGAAAATTCTTCATTAGTCACAAAAAAAGTGAACTTTTGTAAAGTAACATTTCTATTCAGGATAGATAAGATAATTCCAGATACAGTACAGCATAATGTATCAAATTTTCCATCTTAATATTCTGTAAAAAGTTTCATTGACCCTTGAACTACTTGAGTGATCTGTGTATGTGCAAAACAAAAAAACAAAACAAAAATTCAGTTATATAAAAAATAGTAAATTTACTTATGAAATTATAAACAAACAGAATAACGGAATATGAGGGTAAAAGTTTACTCACTACACAACTCGTCTGGTGGATGTTTTTCTCCATGTGCAATTCCATTATAATGACATACAGTATTGATGAGGGAACCACTTCCCAACCCCTGAACTGTGAGATGTATAAGTTCTGCTCTCTATCCCAGATAAAAGGCTTACTGAGAATGCTTCTCACATATCCACTCTCTTAAACCTAAAACAAAGAATGAGAACACCATACACATTTCATTATCATCGCCGAAAATAATTGTGTCTATTGATGTTGGCAGCAGTCGCCTGTGTCAGCATCAATAGACGTTGGCTGCAGTTTAAGGGTTAAACCTATGAAATTTTTACTTTTATAAACTATCATCTTCATTCAAAAAAGAACATTTTCAGATACTGTACATTGTAATTTTACTTATTTCAAGTACAGTAACTGAAACTAGGAACTGGGACATTTACTTCAGGTTGGCCTGTGCATTTAGTTTACCTTTGTATTGTAGTTAAGAAATTATTTATTTATTTTGTACATCATACTGAGTTTCTTGTGCCATATGTTTTGGTAATATTTAAATATGGGTTTTTAAACAGTTTGTAGAGAAGTTGTATTTTGTACTTTATTGTGTGAAATGTTTTATAGTTATGTTATATCACTCCAATGGATAATTTGTGTGGTCTCATTATTCTTAAAAAATAACCCACATAAAATGTTATTTTTCATTTCCTTATAAGAAAACCATCTATATTTCTTTGACGTAGAGTGTTGTGATGGCAGCAAGTGTGAGCTGTTTCAAGACCAGACTTAACCAGCACTGGAGCAAGTCTGGATACATTCATGAGCCAGTGCAAGCCTAGTACTTGCCAACAATGTGTGACAGAGATGTGACCGACTGCCCAAGCGGCTAGCGAACTGATTAGTGGTGAAGATGATAAAAGTAAAAAAGTAATACCACCCTTTATATTGAAGGGTGGAGGTGGTTTCATGCCTTTAGGACATGATGCATTCAGTTGGATAGGTCTATCTTTCTAGGGGATCCCTGACTGTGATGTCCAGATGCCCTTCCAGAAGCCCAACTAGACTATTCCCAGCTGTACAAATCCAGATTAAGAATTACCATTTAGGGCTGGGAGAAAGGATTACGGTAAACAGCCAGCTCCTGAGGTGTTGGCCATACATGAAAGTTTGTACAGTCCCTGTTTCTTTTCATCTGGAAGTTGAGTCACTCTTTGAGCTGCAAATCTGAGGGAGGTAGCACACTTCTTTGGTATTAGAATATGGGAGGTCCTGGGCAATCTCATGGATTACAAGGGTTAAGAGGGTACAGATAGGGCTGGCATGCCTGTCACTCCTGGAGTTGCTGTTGACCCCATTAATGGTCATATTCAGTTTTTTTATGATTTAGCAGTTAATTCCTGAAGTGCAACATACAGCCTGAGTTGTTTAACTGTAGACTGTGATATTCAGCCTGAGCCACTGTTAATTAAAAGTCATCACTAAAAATTTTCATGCCAAGTTAGGCTGGAAATAAATGTTCCTCATATGGCAGAAGGCCTCCTCCACCCACACATAGATACATAATGCAATTAGTACCATTTTTGTCAAGATGGAGGGGAATCCTTTATCATCCTCCTCACTCTTTCCTGATGGGCCTCAATCACCCCAAGGTCATGTGTCATCACTTCACACCCCCTACATACACAACATTCAGCATGCCACGTCTGCTAAACCAAGGTAAATATAAATATTTTTTATTTTTCACTCTGCTGCTCTGCATAGATTTCTTGTATTCTGTAAGACTAAAATATGCATTGAAAAATGTTGGTTTAAATGTTTATGTTTTTTTTGTGCTTACCTATATCTGGATTTCTTAATTGCCTAGCCCAGGGGTTAAAAAATGCCTGGTGAGAGTAGTGATGTACAATATTTATGTCAGCAGTTACCACAACTCATGGTCCTATAACTTGAGTGGTAATAAAACTGGAAAATCTGCTGTGTAGTGTGTGCTGTCATTTAATTTATATTAGGCATACTGGTGATAAACTTTGCTTGAGAAAAATTATGTCTAGTCTAGTCCTGTTTTATTTATGGTATGCCAAAACCAGTGAAAGTGCATCTTCAAGTCTGTGAAATTAGTAACATAGAACAGTCCAGAGAATTCATCAGCAATCATCTTGTGACTCCAGGCCAGGCCATTCAAAACATCTACATACACTTACAGTATATGGTGGGTTTTCACTTGTTTTGAAAATTTTCATTAATTTAATTGTGTTAACTTATTTTGATTAGAGTACCCTAAGTGCTAGGTAGTGATATTTGCTAGAAAAACTGAGTGCTGGAAACAATCTAGGATGGGAAGGTCAACAGGTAGGTACGGTGATACTGTATACAGTACTGTACTTTACTCTAGTTGTGCCGTTAGATAGTAACTTGATGAAATTATTTTGTTGAAGAGTACTGTACCTATTACATGTACTGTAATGTATGAATACAGTCCTACTCGGACCATCGAATACCGACTCGGACCATTTCGGATAACCAACTCGGACCACTTAAGTTAATCAACACATTTTACACATTTATTTTTGCATGAATGATAAAAGTACAAAAGTACAAACATTACTGATAAACAGTCACATGATGTGAAACGGCTCGTATCAAATTTTTAGCAGATGTTCGTCCACTACTGAATTCATCCCACAGTTTGAAGAGCTGTACTTGGCCCGTTGTTTTCATAGCACTTTACCGTCGGACAAGAGCCGCACCTGGAGTGTCACCAGTTTTGATTCATTATGGAGTAGCTTGATTAACAGATAGAAGTTAAGTTGTCCTTTTCTTACTTTCAAGTTAAGGCGATGATGCTGTCCTTCACAGTCATTATTTGTACGGAAACTTCTTTTAAATACACTCCAAGCAGATGGGATCTAGATGTCATTCCTGAACCCCTAGTCAACTACTTGTTTGAAGTGTGCAATGTGGGCCGAGTTAGTAATGTGTGGGCCCAGTTGGGGGTACACCATAATGTACGATGACAAAGTATTTGTACAGTATTTCTAGAATAATCTGATGAATGCTAAATATTTTAATAATAAAAATCATCTTACCTTATTATCATCAACATACACACTAGAATCCTGAAATTTTGTCCTTGGATGACATATTTGGATTAGTCACAGAAGGAGAGAAAGAAGGGAATACAGTACTGTATTGTATATCTGGATGTATATACTGTACTGTATCTCTTTCCCATTTAATGTAGCAGATTTGACGTTTAAATTGCAGATAGACTTGTGATCTGCAACCTAATGTGTTTCATCAGCATTATTTACCAGAGTATTTGTAGATGTCTCATGGTGAATGACCTATAAATATTCTAAACTCTGTAGTTGTAATTATTTCAAGGATCATTTACACTAATTATTGGAATTAAAATTGTGTATACCCAGCATATTGAGGAGTACCTGCCTCAGTGTAAACAAATATATGCGAGTCGGACAATAGGTCAGGGTCTACCGCGCAAGCTTTTTACAATTGTTTTTCAATCACTGACCATTGTTTCAGTCATTGAGTCTGATAACATCAAATTTGGTATAGTACTTAGAAACGTTTAAATTTTTATTGGCGCATATAATGGAAAAGTACCTTTGTTTTGTTAGCTTTTCCTTTGGGAGGTGTCCCTCATAATTTGTAAGGGCTAAAGCCATTATTATTTCGAATTATGGAGTTTTACTGTATTGTGTTTACATAGCTTTTGAAATGAATACAGTATTGATTGATCAAATTACCAAAGATTCGAGGTAACATATACCAGATTCTATTCATTGTCACAGTATAATATGCTGGTGCAGTGCTGGTAGATTGTCCTATCACAGGATTCTTGGAGGCTTGATGATTCCTTGTCATTAACATTAGCACTCTTAACCACAACTTTCTTGAAAAGAATGGGGTACTGTATGTAGTTGCAGATGTTTTGTGAAATAGATAATACAGGTACATTATTATTTATTCTATATACATTTATACTTGGTTGTTTTGCAGTCAGTTTCACCAAACACTTGCTACCACATACGCTAAACTTTTGAACCAAGAAAAACTGGCGGTGAGCGGCCTGTCATTCGCAAAAGTTCTATTATGCTCTCATATGAACGTGAGGTGTAATTTAGAATTGCTGTACAGGTATTGTATTTTGTTTCATCTTCCATTTGTCCTGTGTCAAAATTTTTCTCATTGGTTTGCTGTGAACTACAATATGCTTCATTTATAAAATGTACTGTACTGTATTTTGACATTTTGTAAACTGCTGTTGATTTTCAGCATCATTTATAACACATCGTATTTGATTGCACCCCTTTAAAATTATGTTGTAGTTTCCTCTAAAACTTTCTTCAAGCTTCATGAAAGGTTAAGTCAATTTTCTCATGGAATGTTGTATGTTACTATAGATTTTCACCTGCATGCAGCCACCAGTCACTGATTGATGGTGTCACCCATTAGATTTTCCATCTTAGTTTTACAATAAGTGTTAAAATTAGGTTTACTAAATTGGTATCCAGCTGTGGGAAATTTTAATAAGCTCAAAAATTTTGCTCACTGGTTCATAATTAATTAATCCCACAAAATCAAATACTGTACATATAAAATAATAAATATACAAGGATTCAATGTGACTTGTACGGTTCTTGATGCTCGTGCTGTAGCAATCTGTATCTACTGCCAACAGCAACTTTCTGCTCAGTCTACTACTACTACTGTCTTGTCCTTCAATATTAATATATATTTAGAGTTAAACAATCTTCATTGACAGCTATAGTGATAGAGTTGTAAATTGGGAAGATACATTTCCTCTCATCAAAGATGTCATAAATCATTTGTAAATGTATCTATACCATCCATACAGGTAAATCTTGGGGCAGTGTTTCAGCCTCATGGTTTGGGTCACCTCCTTGGATTGGATGTGCATGATGTTGGAGGCTATCTTGAAGACAACACCTCCTCGACCTCAGGAAGCTGGTTTCTGGTCTCTTCGCACAGCCAGGGTGTTAGAGGAGAACATGGTCCTCACAATTGAACCTGGATGCTACTTTATTGATCATGTAAGAAATCTGAACTTGTAATTATTTCAATATTAACACTAAATTTAAAAAATTCTGAACCCAGATCCTTAATAAGTATTTCAAGGAACCTTTGTATTATATTTCAACATCTATATTTTGGCTGTTTGACCTGAAGCGCAAGGAAGTAGGTCAGGCATAATTTGGGCCTGATACACTTTTTATTTGGAGAGTGAAAAATACTCTTAAATTATTTAAATGGTAGAATCAGTCTACATTCTTTGTAAAAAAAAAAAATTAAAAAAAATCAAACTAGTCATTGAGGTAATTGGTATATAGACATTCTAAATGTGTTGTAACTACTGTATTTGTCATATGTATCGACAAAACTTGGGCCCAGATTAACTAAACTGCCCGTAACTTTGATCGTATCTCTCCTCATATCTCGAGAAGCTATGGTGATCGTACGATATTGGTTATAGGCAATTCACTAAAGGTTCATATGGCGAATGCAGGTAAGTGTAGTTCAGTAAGCTACCACTAGATGGAGTTAGTGTATTTTTTTGTTTCCTTGCTAGACCAATCACCATTGCCTGGAACAAACACTTTGAAAGAATATTAGTCAATCACAAGTTACCCATGTCAGAGACTGAATTTCTCCAATGAGATTTTTGTTAATAATAATAATAATACTGTAATAATTATTAATATTACTATTGCAGTATTTTGGAGCAAATGCACTTTATATTTCTTGGCACAGTTCATTGCCTTAAGCTAGTAACGTCATCAGCTACACTCTGGAAACTACCACTTGCAAAAAAACTGAAAACAGATGTATTTAGCCAGAGTATATACCAATGTAACAGTAAGTTGTCATCAATTTGTAGAGGGTCCAAAGGAACCCTAAACATCATTTCTCTCCGGTGTGCACGGTCACAAACAAAAGTAATTGTTAGTTACATCTTCACAGCTTCACTCTCACTTGAGATGCTTGAAGTGCTGCATGTCTGGCAGCTCTGTGTTTCATGACAGGGTATATAGTAGAGACAACGGGGGCTATTTCCACCTTGAGAAAACTTACTGGCACTCAATGGCCACTTTAAGCTGCTAGTGAATCGGCCCTGGACATGTTAAAATTTTCCCCAGCAAACCTAACTCCAAATTAAAAGGGACAATAATACACAATTGTGGCAGGAACACATAATAAACTTTGTTTCACTGTAAGGAGAACATCGGAAGATAAATATCAATTACGATATTAAATTATTAAGTTGGCTCGGTGTGCACTTATAGTAGGAAGCAATTATTTATTCTGTTACGAGTTGGGGATTTAGAATATAGTTAAAAGTCTACCCAGATCCCAACAGGCAACAACAAAAAAACAAAGACAATCGGACTATAAAAGGGGTAGACAAAGGATGCGAGTTTTTGTTGTGTATAATAAAGTACTGTACCATAAATTCCTTAACAAAATATTCAGCTTCCTATAAGTTACCCTTAACCATACTTAACCTAAACATTAACAGTATATACATATTTATACAACATACAATAATTTGAAGCAAGTGGACGTGGGGGAGACAATATAAGATTACAAATACTTAAGTGCGGAGCTGAGATGGCTGACGAGCAAGGCTGAGTATTGTAGAAGACGGTAGGTAGTCACTGTGCCGTAGGTTTCCAGGATAGGTGATCCTGTGGTCACTTCCCAGAGTGTACTGCTCTCTCCTCGAATTGGAGCTGACAAAGAAGACTTGGAGGAAGTGACGCAACAACCAGGATATGGAGAAGGGAAACCCCGGAGTGGTAACTAAGACAAGGCAAGATAATGTAAATGACCTCCCATGAGATAAAGTTAAGGTCCATAATTACCATGGAATAAAAATGGCAAATCATGATTCTCATGGCAGTGATATAATGAGGGCTTATTACACAATTATTTTCAGGAAAGTTGAGGATTGGTATTTGATCTCAAGGACATGAAAACCTTAAAGGAATTGTTAATAAAAATGTTAGAGAAAAACATTACAAACAGCTAGATTAATGGAGTAGCCAGGCTGTACATTTAATCAAAATACTGTACTGTGTTACATTTAGTGTATGTAATTTTCTTATATTTATCTCATCATTGTAGAGTTCATCGATAATTTTATTTATTTATTTTTTAATCAACAGCTTTTGGATCAAGCATTGGCTAATCCTGCTCAGGCACAGTTTCTGGTTCCCGAGGCAATAGCCCGCTTCCGTGGATTTGGTGGGGTCAGGATTGAGGATGATATTGTTGTGACTGCTGATGGCACGGAAGACCATGCGCAGGGTACTATTCCACGAACGTAAGTCACAGCTGTTTCATTTGCAATATAAAATCAATGATAATTAAATATATGATTGACTTGGCAAGTGGAGGCTTTACCACTCATTTCAGGATAGTTTACTTCATTGGCTCCTAAGTCCTAATTTGTAATTGAGTTATATTTTATATCATATGTGGGTGTACAGGATTCACTGTTTATTACATACAGTATTGAGATATGGAGGCAACTTTCTGTATATGTTGGACGATGGCATCCCTCAGAATTTGTTCAGAGTTTGCATATATGGAATGTTGTTAGGCTGATCAGTAGTGGAGCACAAATTTTGTTTGCTGCCACCTTTATCACCTTGGTCTATGTTCCTTGCCCTCCACATCCACGCCCCTCCACCTCCACACCCATCCATCTACATGTCAACACCCTCCACTTCCAACCCTGCACCTTCATGTCATGGGAAAGATTGGATTGATGTTGAGGTATACTATAGAAGCAGCTAATTTTAATTTTTCCCCTGTACAGTGTGGAGGAGATTGAAGAACTTATGGCTGAAGGTCAACAGGAGGATGTGTTTGTCCCTCAGCTTCGTGCTCAGGAGAAGCTTGGTCAGTAATTAATGGTGCTTTAACTTACACCATTGAGTAAAGAAGATGAGGAATAGGATGGACACAAGAAGACGTTTTATCCTTACATAAAATGTATAGTTATTTCAGCCTCGCTTTAGGTTAGATTATTATAACAAAGTAAATGTTTTAAATTATTAGAATGCCAAAAGTTTATTTGATTAAACTTGGAACTAGACATTTACTATATTAATGGAGTTATGTGCCTTAGACATTTACTATATTAATGGAGTTATGTGCCTTAGACATTTACTATATTAATGGAGTTATGTGCCTTAGACATTTACTATATTAATGGAGTTATGTGCCTTAGATATTTACTATATTAATGGAGTTATGTGCCTTAGACATTTACTATATTAATGGAGTTATGTGCCTTAGACATTTACTATATTAATGGAGTTATGTGCCTTAGACATTTACTGTATTAATGGAGATATGTGCCTTAGACATTTACTATATTAATGGAGATATGTGCCTTAGACATTTACTATATTAATGGAGTTATGTGCCTTAGACATTTACTATATTAATGGAGTTATGTGCCTTAGACATTTACTATATTAATGGAGATATGTGCCTTAGACATTTACTATATTAATGGAGATATGTGCCTTAGACATTTACTATATTAATGGAGATATGTGCCTTAGACATTTACTATATTAATGGAGTTATGTGCCATAGACATTTACTATATTAATGGAGATATGTGCCTTAGACATTTACTATATTAATGGAGATATGTGCCTTAGACATTTACTATATTAATGGAGATATGTGCCTTAGACATTTACTATATTAATGGAGATATGTGCCTTAGACATTTACTATATTAATGGAGTTATGTGCCTTAGACATTTACTATATTAATGGAGATATGTGCCTGAAAAGATTTTCATATATATTGGACAACTTTATATACAGTATACAGGTTCTGTACTTTGTAAAAAATGGATCATATATGATTTGTTGCAAATTCCCTGGAACTTTAATAAATGAATTGCACTGGTTGTTCCCTTCATTCCTTACCCCCATAATTATAGAAAACGGGAAATTTGTATTACAGAAAATGGGAAATATCTACATTCTGGGAAAGTTGGTTATCTACTTTCCTGAAAAGTAGATTATCTACTTTTCGGGAAAGTAGATTATCGACTTTTTGGGGAAGTAGATTATCGACTTTTGGGCGAAATATTACCCAATTTTGCGAAGTAGATTATCATAGAAAACGGGAAATTTGTATCACAGAAAATGGGAAATATCTACTTTCTGGGAAAGTTGGTTATCTACTTATCACAGAAAACGGGAAATTTGTATCATAGAAAATGGGAAATATCTACTTTCCGGGAAAGTTGGTTATCTACTTTCCCGAAAAGTAGATTTTCTACTTTTCGGGAAAGTAGATTATCGACTTTTCGGGGAAGTAGATTTTCGAATTTGGGGGGAAATATTACCTAATTTTGCGAAGTAGATTATCATAGAAAACGGGAAATTTGTATCATAAAAAATGGGAAATATCTACTTTCCGGGAAAGTTGGTTATCTACTTTCCCGAAAAGTAGATAGATTTTCTACTTTTCGGGAAAGTAGATTATCGACTTTTCGGGGAAGTAGATTTTCGAATTTGGGGGGAAATATTACCAATTTTGCGAAGTAGATTATCATAGAAAACGGGAAATTTGTATCATAAAAAATGGGAAATATCTACTTTCCGGGAAAGTTGGTTATCTACTTTCCCGAAAAGTAGATAGATTTTCTACTTTTCGGAAAATAGATTATCGACTTTTCGGGAAGTAGATTTTCGGGAAATATTAATTAATTTTGTGAAGTAGATTATCATAGAAAACGGGAAATTTGTATCATAAAAAATGGGAAATATCTACTTTCCGGGTAGATTTTCGAATTTGGGGAAATATTACCTAATTTTGCAAAGTAGATTATCATAGAAAACGGGAAATTTGTATCATAAAAGGAAATATCTACTTTCTCCGAAAGTTGGTTATCTACTTTCCCTGAAAAGTAGATAGATTTTCTACTTTTCCGAAAGTAGATTATCGACTTCAAAGTAGATTTTCGAACTTTGGGGAAATTTTAATTAATTTGCGAAGCAGATTATCATAGAAAAACGGGAAATTTGTATCATAAAATGGGAAATATATCTACTTTCCGAAGTTATTATCTACTTTCCCGAAAGTAGATAGATTTTCATTTTCCGGAAAGTAGATTATCGACTTTTCGGGGAAGTAGATTCGAATTTTAGAGGAAATATTAATTAATTTGGCGGAAGTAGATTATCATAGAAAACGGGAAATTTGTATCATAAAATGGGAAATATCTACTTTCCGAAAGTTGGAAACATTTCCTGAAAATAGATTACTTTCGGTACCGATGATCGACTTTCAGGGAAGTAGATTTTCGAATTTGGGGAAATATTACTAATTTTGCAAAGTAGATTATCATAGAAAACGGATATTTGTATCATAAAAAATGGGGAATATCTACTTTCCGAAAGAGTTATCTACTTTACAATTAATTTTCCAATAGATTATCATAGAAAACGGAAATTTGCACATAGAAAGGGAAACATATCCACTTTCTCGAAAGTTGGTTATACTTTCCGAAAAGTAGATTATCTACTTTTCGGGAAAGTAGACATCTAATTTTCGGAGAAGCAGATTTACGATTTTTGGAAAATATTACCTAATCTTCCGAAGTAGATTATCATAGAAAACGGAAATTTGCATCATAGAAAATGGGAAAATATCTAACTTTCCGCGAAAGTTGGTTATCTACTTTCCCGAAAAAGTAGATTATCTACTATTTTCCTGAAAGTAGATTATCTACTTTTCGAAAGTAGATTATCGATTTTTTGGGAAATATTACCAATTCCTCCAAGGATATCATAGAAAATGGAATTGCATCATAGAAAAAGTTACCAATATCCAATGTTTTACACCCAAAGTAGATTATCTACTCAAAGTAGATTATCGACTTTTCGGAGAAGATAGATTATCATTTTGGGGAAAATACTAATCTTTCCAAAGTAGATTATCATAGAAAATGGAAATTTTGCATCACAGAAAATGGGAAATATCCACTTCTTCCAAGTTACTTATTTTCCCAAATAAAGTAGATTATCTACTTCGGGAAAGAGATTATCGACTTTTCGGAGAATTAGATTATCGATTTTTGAAGATACTCCAAATTTTCCTAAGCAGATTATCATAGAAAAACGGAAATTTGCATCATAGAAAATGGAAATACTATCCAAAAAGCTAAAATCACTTTCCTAAAAGTAGATTATCTACCTTTCGGGAAAGTAGATTATCGAAATTTCGAGAAGTAGATTATCGATTTTTGGGGAAATATTAATTAATTTTCCGAAGTAGATTATCATAGAAAACGAAATTACCAGAACAAAAAAATGGGAAATATCTACTTTCCACGAAAGTTATATCTACTTCTCCTTAAGTAGATAATCTACTTTTTCGGGAAAGTAGATTACCGATTTTTGGGGAAATATTACCCAATTTCAGAAGTAGATTATCATAGAAAACGTAAAATTTGCATCATATAAAATAAAAATATCTACTTTCCAAGTGAAGTGTTAATTTCACTCTGAAAGCAGATAATCCACTTTTCGGAAAGTAATATCGACTCTTCAAAGTAACATCGATTTTTCAGAAAATATTAACTATTCTTCCTAAGCAGATTATCATAGAAAACGGGAAATTTGCATCACAGAAAATGGGAAACATCTACACTTCCCATGAAAGTTGGTATCTACTTTCCCGAAAATTAGATTATCTACTCTTCGGGAAAGTAGATTATCGACTTTTCGGAGAACGCAGATTATCGATTTTTGGGGAAAATATTAACTTTAATTCTTCCGAAGTAGATTATCATAGGAAAACGGGAAATTTGCATCATAGAAATGGAAATATCTACTTTCCGCGAAAGTAGATTAATCATTTTTCGAAAGTAGATTATCTACTTTTCGGGAAAGTAGATTATCGACTTTTCGAAGTAGATTATCGACTTTGGGGAAATATTACCTAATTTTCCGAAGTAGATTATCATAGAAAACGGAAATTTGCATCATAGAAAATGGGAAATATCTACTTTCCATGAAAGTTGGTTATTTATTTTGAAAGTAGATTATCTACTTTCAAGTAGATTATCGACTTTCGGCGCAGATTATCGATTTTGGGGAAATATTACCAATTTTCCGAAGTAGATTATCATAAAACGGAAATTTGCATCACAGAAAATGGGAAATATTCATCAATGAAAGTTGGTTATTCACTTTAGTAGATTATCTACTTTCGAATTTTAGGTATCACAGAAAATGGGAAACATTCACTTTCCGCGAGTTGGTTATCACTTTCCCAGTAGATAATCTACTTTTTCGAAAGTAGATAACCAACTTTCGCGGAAAGCAGATACTTCATTTTCATGATAAATTTCCCGTTTCCAAGATAACTAATTCTGAACTAATGTTATTTACCTCTGCAATCGATAATCACCAAAGCCGATACTACTTCTCAAAGTAGATTAATCTACTTTTCGGGAAAGTAGATAACCAACTTCCCGAAAAGTAGATATTTCCCATTTCTATGATGCAAATTTCCCTTATGATAATCTACTTCGAAAATCATGTAACATTTCAAAAATCGATAATCTACCCCGAAAATAATCCACTTTCCCCGAGTCAGATAATCTACTTTACGGTAAATAAATCAACCTCGCGAAAGTAGATATTTCCCATTTTCTATTATACAAATTCCCCGTTTTCATGATAACTACTGGAAAATTAAGGTAATATTTCTCAAATCGATATCTACTTTTCTGGAAAAAAAGTCGATAATTTTTTAGGTATAACGGCCAAAGTAGATAACCAATTTCGCGGAAAGTAGATATTTCCCTGATGGTGAGCAATACAAACTGAACGAAGTTGGCTACCGA